CGTTCACACCTGATTTGGTTGAGAAAATAGTGGAAGTTCAAGCATATAGGTAGAATCTGGAGTAGTCATGTATGATGATTCTATAAGATGAAGTGTGTCATTCAATGAAATGAAGTGTATTAGTAGTGTTTTCTCATTAGTGAGTTCATGACTATTTTACGATTAAACTCAATTTAAAATATTTTAAATCTCATACAAACTAATGTGAGAGTGATATTGGTCATATAAATATCACCTGAGACCGAAATTCGGTATTTTTTTTTATCTTCGTCGAAGTTGGTACTAAAGAAATGATTTCTAGTAGTAGAACACCGAAAGTTAGTACTATCTCACTTTAGGTTTGGTACAAATTATTGCAAATTTTGACCACAATTGAATAGTCCATTTTTGTTGACCAAAAGTAAGTACTAATTGATCAAAAACAGGTGCCACGTAGAAGAATAAGTGGTACTATATTGGCTAAAACAGGTATTAGTTTAAGAATTGTGATTTCTCTAATTCTTCATGTCTACCATGACACGTGGATCGTTCACACGTGATTTGGATAAAAAATAGTGGAAATTAAAATATATAGGTAGAATTTTGAGTGGTTATGTATGATGATTCTATGATATGAAGTGTGTAATTCAATGAAATGAAGTGTATTAGTAGTGTTTTCGGTGTTTGTATGTGTTCACTACAAGTGGTACTAAAGACCAATATCAGGTACCACAACAATATAAAACTGGTATTATCTTACTCTATGTATGGTACTACTTTTTGTAAATGTTGACAAAAATTGAAAGAATCAATTTTTGATAACAAAAGTAGGTACTAATTATTCAAAAATAGGTACCACGTAGAAGAATATGTGGTACTATTTTGGATAAAAGTGGTACTATTTTAAGAATTGGTATTTCTCTAATCTTTCATGTCTACCATGACATGTGGATCGTTCACACGTAATTTGGATGAAAAATAGTGGAAGTTAAAACATATAGGTAGAATTTGGAGTAGTTATGTATGATGATTCTATGAGTTGAAGTGTGACAATCAATGAAATGAAGTGTATTAGTAGTGTTTTCTCATTAGTGTGTCGAGTTCATAACCAATTTGCAAATAAACTCAATTACAAACATTTTAAATCACATATAAACTAATGTGAGAGTGATTATAGATCATATAAACATCATTTGAAAATGAAATTCGGTGTTTGTATGTGTTCATTACAAGTGGTACTAAAGTCCCAAATTTAGGTACCACAACAATATAAAACTAATACTATCTTACTATATGTCTGGTACTACTTTTTGTAAATGTTGACCCAAATTGAAATAATCAATTTTCGTTAACAAAAGTAGGTACTAATCGTTCAAAAACAGGTACCACGTAGAAGAAGATGTGGTACTATTTTGGCTAAAACAAGTACTATTTTAAGAATCGTGATTCTCTAATCCTTGATGTCTACCATGACAAGTTGATCGTTCACGCATGATTTGGATGAAAAATAATGAAAGTTAAAACATATAGGTAGAATTTGGAGTAGTCATGTATGATAATCCTATGAGATGAAGTGTGTAATTCAAAGAAATAAAGTGTTTTAGTAGTGTTTTTGCATTAGTGTGCCAGTTCATAACCAATTTACGAATAAACTCAATTAAAAACATTTTAAATCTCATATAAACTAATGTGAGACTGATTATGGGTCATATAAACATAATTTGAAACCAAAATTCGGTGTTTGTATGTGTTCACTACAAGTGGTATTAAAGACTCAATATCAGGTACCACAACAATATAAAACTGGTAC